GGGCTCGATCCCAGGACCCCGGGATCATGACCTGAGCCGAAGGCAGACGCTTAACGACTGAGCCACCCAGGCGCCCTATTTTACAGTATTCTTACAGGCCACTTCAAAGTCTGTCAAATGAGGCAAGACATAAATGTAATGTGTTTGTAAGTACATAAGAAATAGCCAGAGTTTAGGAATCATGGATAGGAAAAGAGTTCCAAATTTTATTTCAATAAAGTAGAAAGTATTACATAATGTGTTTCCATACTGGTAGCTGATTATCTGGGGTTTTCTGTCTACAAGAGCAAAAAGAAGAAAAATATTTAGGCTAGCATGATCTACCTGTCAGAGAATCTGTTCCTAGAATACAGTGCAAATAAAAAGTAAGCAGAGAGAGTATGTAGGCAGCTGGGGGGATGTAGGCGCCAACTCTGAAGAGGAGGGAGCAGCAGAGCCATGGCCTCCCAGGGAAAGGCTCTTGGCTCGCCCTGAGTGTAGCTGGTGCAATTCTTCATCCCTGCTCTGGGCTGCAGCTCCCAGACCTCAGAATAAAAACTGAGGGCCCCCGTGGACTAGTGCGTGTGGGGGGTGGGGGGCGTTCTCCCTGAGAAACATTCCACATGTGGGCACAGGGTCCTTTCTGAGACCGTTTATCAGGCTCAGAGTCAAGGTGTGTTAATGGCCTCATGTAGCAGGACCTGGGGAGCCCCTCCGTGGTCCACCGTGCTATGTTTTTTTCCAGGCTGTATAATTGCTTCTCCCTTTCCACCTGTCCCGTCCTGGCATCCCAGGAGCTGGGCAGGGATAGGCAATGAGTTCTCTATGCCTGCCTCAGAGTCACTGAAAACCTCTACTCCATTTGATACAAAAAAACCTATAGAGACAGGCCAATTGCAGAGAACAGGCATGGAACCATTTCTGTAGGTCTATTTCTATAGGACCTATATAAATATGCTCCTGTCTAGAGTGTTCTGCTGTTAGGAGCTTTGGGGAAGTTGGTTCCCAGTGATCACCTGATGTCGTGCTGGTTTTTCCTCTGTCCCTTCCTCATCCACACTGCATACCTGTATGTGAATGGCCTCGTGGCTACCTTGGTCTTTTCTCATTTCATAAAATGGTTGAAAGACAAAAAACAAAAACAAACTGTTCCTAGGTATGAAGCTGCCTTGGCCCCTCTGGCCAACCTAGTCTTTTAAGTTTTAGCAAGCACCCTTAACCCACCTGACTAACTAAACCTTTGTACATTTATAGATCATGCATTCTTTCCTAGAAAGAACAGAGCACTTCTATATGTCACTGGGCTCTCTTGCACCACCTGGGGCACCATGAAACCAAACCCTCTTGCACAACCCCCACCAAGGAACCAGACCCCACTGCAATACCTTCAAGCACCATGATAACATCTGTAGCCGGCACCATCGATACTGCACATAGTCAAGAGTTGTCATAGACCACTGCACTCCCTTAACTGATTAACTGCCCTAAATCACTTTAAAAATTTCTGGGCCAGGAGAAACCTTGGAGTTGGCTTTTGGACAAGAGTCCACCTTCTCTCCAGGTAGCCAGCCTCCTGAATAAAGCTCATACTCCCGGGCGCCTGGGCGGCTCAGTTGTTAAGCGTCTGCCTTCGGCTCAGGTCATGATCCCAGGGTCCTGGGATTGAGTCCCACATCGGGCTACCTGCTGGGCGGGAAGTCTGCTTCTCCCTCTCCCACTCCCCCTGTGTTCCCTCCCTCGTTGTGTGTCTCTGTCAAATAAATAAATACAATCTTAAAAAAAAAAAGCTCATACTCCCTTCCAATCAAAACTCGTCTCTTGGGTGGGGGTGGGGGGCAAGAGGAAAAAAAACACCTCATCTCTAGAATATTGGCCTATCTACAGGCAGCCATACTTGGGTTTCAGTAATAGGTACTGGGATTCTGAATACACAAAGTACCTGTCAACCAAACAGCCAGAACTGACCACACTTCATCTCTCTCATCTGTATTTTTCAACCATTTGATGTTTTAGCAAGCTGCTTTGGTAATGTACCTGGCAGAGTACCTGCTCAGTAAACATTGTCAAAATAAGAGAATCCTCTTTTTTCTAATTAGAACTCTAAGGAAAACTGAGACCCCCTCAAGAGAAGGAAGAATGTGCAGGCAATATAGCACCACTAACTCAAAATATTCTCTGCATTTTGTTTTGTTTACATATTTACTGCTTTGTTTCCCCATTAGAATGTAGCAAACTCCATGAGGAGGGACTATGGTTTGTTTCAGCCACGTATCCCAGGAACCTACAACAACAGCATATAGTACTGTTTCTATAAATAACTTTTTAAGTGAATGACACGAGTTAAGGGCACTCATGACTTTAAGAACAGATGAGTCCTGGCTTGTCATTTAATAGCTCTGTAAACTTTAAAACAGTTATGAAGCTTCCCTAATAATAATACTTAGCTCAGACGTTTTTGTAATTTAAAAAATGATTTTAGGGGCGCCTGGCTGGCTCAGTCCATGGAGCATGTGACTTGATCTTGGGGTTCTAAGTCTGAGCCCCACAGTGGGTGTGAAGAACTTAAAAATAAAATCCTTTTCTTTTTTTTTAAGATTTATTTATTGGGGCACTCGGGTGCCTCAGTCGGTTAAGCATCTGACTCTTGATTTTAGCTCAGGTCATGATCTCAGGGTTGTACGATCGAGCTCTGCATTGGATAAATAAATCTAAAAAAATAGAAACCTAAAAATAGAATCTTAAAAGATTATCTCTAGGGTGGCTCAGTCGTTAAGCGTCTGCCTTTGGCTCAGGTCATGATTCCAAGGTCCTGGGATCGAGTCCCGCATCGGGCTTCCTGCTCGGCAGGAAGCCTGCTTCTCCCTCTCCCACTCCCCCTGCTTGTGTTCCCTCTCTCTCTGTTTAAAAAAAAAAAAAAAAATCTTAAAAACAAAAAATTATCATCTCTATTTTTATTATTTTGGCGAGACAGAGAGAGCTCGAGCGGGCTCCAGGAGGGCCCACTGAGCAGAGAGCCCTGATCCCAAGACCCTGAGATCATGACTTGAGCTGAAAGCAGATGCTTAACTGATTCAGCCACCCAGGTGCCCCGAGAGAGAGATAATCGTAAGCAGGGTCCACACCCAACGCAGAGTCCCACTGCATGCTCGACCCCAGGACCCTGAAATCATGACCTGAACCAAAATCAAGAGTCCAGGCTTAACGACTGAACCACCCAGGTGCCCCCTCAAAAAAGGATTTTAAAGTGCTTACTACCTAGCAGATCATAATCTGTTTATATTCACTGAGCAAATGCCATATGCTAGACTGTCTAAATGCTGAATGTGAATTAACTCATTTAATCCTCACCATAACTCTATGAGGTATATGGTGTTATCATATCCATTTTCATAGTCACGGTGAGATGGAAACGGAGAGGTTTAGTAATTTGCCCAAGGTCACACAGTAGACCTAACTTTCAGTCTGGCTCCAGAGTCCAGTCCTTAACAATATGCTAAACTTCTTCTCAATAAGCCCCCAAATGTTATTATGTTAACTATTATTAGGGGTGAGGAGCCCTGACTTTTCGATGTTTACATTCTGGAGAATGACACTGGCAGCACGGTCTATTAAAGGAGAATTGAGGGCGCCTGGGTGGCTCAGTTGGTTAAGCGACTGCCTTCGGCTCAGGTCATGATCCTGGAGTCCCGGGATCGAGTCCCACATCGGGCTCCCTGCTCAGCGGGGAGTCTGCTTCTCCCTCTGACCCTCTTCCCTCTCGTGCTCTCTCATTCTCTCTCTCAAATAAATAAATAAAATCTTTAAAAAAAAAAGAGAGAGAATTGAGAAGATGGAAGGAGAAAATGTACCCAGTGAGGCGGTTTCGGATAATTTTGACGCTCATCACGGTCTCCCCCATGGTGGCAAAGGCTCTGGAGATGAAATTCTCATCCATGTAGGGCTCCAGCTGCGTAAATACAAGAGCAACGCATTCAGGCAAGCATCCAGGCTCCTCATTCCCGGTTCCAGAGCCCGCCCAGGGTTGGCTACACGCTGCTGGTGGGGGCGGGAGTGAGGGGAGTGGAGATTTTCATCTACACAGTGGCCTAAATCCCACCTCGCACGTTTTCAATCCTCTGCCTCCCTTCCCTTCAAACTTGCTCCCTTTAGGGAGCCTCCTCCTTGGATTTAGTAACCCTATCCCTCCGTCCTAGAGCCACAGCGCCCTTCAATCCTTGGGATTCCAGCCATTCTATCCCCCTAAAGAACCTCCCTTTCCCTTCCATGAACGCAGGCGGAGAGCCAGGAACCCCCATCCTCAGACGCGGTCCCTTCACCTAAATTCTGGGACCCGCCCGTTTCACCCAAAGAACTCCTCTCCCCATTCACTTCCACCCTTTTGGGATTCGAGGACCCTTCCCCTTCAGACTCTTCCTCCCCCGTGACGCTAAAATTCGTCCTCCTCGGATCCGGGCAGCCGCCCTCACTCACGTCGCCCATCCACAGACTGGCCGCCATGCCCGCAGCCGGGCCGGGAGTCCGCCGGCCAACGAAGGCAGCGCCGGCGCCACACCGCGGGGCCGGGACCGCCAGAGAGCATGCGCCTCCGACGTCTTCTGCGCACGCAGCGCCCAGGGCCGCGCCAGGATTGGCCTCTCCGGGTTTTTCCGACGACCCGGCTGGCCGGGCGCAGAGTTCCTGGCTCCCTGAGGGCGGAGCTCAGCCGGAGTCCGCGGGCGGGGACGGAGCAGACGCTACGCCCTCGCCGGCGTTGCTCGGGTAACTGGCTTTCTCCGGGTTTCTTTCTGACCGTGTATTCAAACACACAAGTACATTTAAAATTACAAAACTAATTATGCTCATTGTAAAAAACAAAACAACAAAAAACCCTGCAAATAAAAGGACACTTTTTAGGAAACTAAAAAGTCCCTTTGGGAGCCAGTTCCACTGTGTGACCTTGGGCAAACCACAGGTCCGCCCCAGCCACACCCTCACCCTGCTTCCTAGTTTGCGAGACGTGAAATTTTTGTTGAAGTTGGATGGGATTCTTCCATCATTCCTGTATATAGCCCTAGGGTGAAAAGAGGAGGCGGGGGGGTTACAGGGAGTGTAAATTGGAGCAACCCTGTCATCTCAACGAAATAATCCCCAAGTCTTGTCATTCTACTTTCCGGAGTCCCATATCCACTACCCTAACCCAAAGCGCCAGCTCTAACTTGTCCCAGAACAATTACCTGTCCATGGAAGGCCCTCAGTGAACACGATTACAATGACTAGATAATCCCGACAATTTAACTCTCTTAGTCTGGGCGTGTCCGAGGCCAAAGCCTCACTTTGGCGCCCATTTCTCAGAATGGGGAGCTTCTGTAAGTGATCATCAACTCTAACAGTGAACCTCACCCAAAGTGCTTGAGGATCCCCTTCTGGGGCTCCCTCTGGGCGATAAGCCACTAAGGCCATTCTTTACCAGTTTATATACCTCCTCAATTTAGGGCGTTGGGCCCCCAAGTCAAGCGCTTACCAGTCTGAAAACGATATCCAGCCACTAGCTGCCACATTTCCAGGTCTATCCTACTTACTGTAATAGCAAGTGTAGTGGCTGGGCGCTTTGGCTATCAATCCCAGCCTCCTCTCACTAATTACTTTGGCAAGTTACTTAACCTGAGACTAATATGGATAATAGCAGTGCTTACCACATAGGGTGTTGTGAAGAGAAAATGAGAAGTTGGGAAAGTACTTGGCCCAATGCCTGGCATCCAGTAAATTCTCCAACATGGTATTTGGAGGCCTTCAAATTATAGCAGAGAGCTGTTTATTTGGTACTATTTGCCAGCCACTCTGCGGTGCTCTTTGCTTTCTACAGGTGGAAGATTTTTAAATGTTTGCTTTTAATTTAGAGTGCAAGCTTCATGAGACAGGGATTCTTGTGTTTTGTTTCTAATCAAATTCCTACAGCAACGTCTGGGATATGGTAGGCACTGAGAAAATATTTGTTGAGGGGTGCCTGGGTGGCTCAGTTAAGCGTCTGCCTTCGGCCCAGGTCATGATCCCAGGGTCCTGGGGTCGAACCCCGCATCTGGCTCCCTGCTCGGTGGGAAGCCTGCTTCTCCCTCTCCCACTCGCCCTGCTTGTGTTCCCTTTCTCGCTGTGTCTCTCTGTTAAATAAATAAATATTTTAAAAAAAATATTTGTTGATTTTATGAAATAAACAATAAACAGCAGTCCCTTACCCTATCCTTAGCCCCAATTTCCACTCCCTTGAGGCAAGTTTCCACATCTCCCTAGAATCTATCTGCACATTTCTAAATAATGTACTTTCTTATTTGAAGTTTCAGATATCTTAGCGACTGTCCTTCATTCATACATACACACTTCTCCATCTTCTGATTATAATTTCTTGCAAAGCAGGAGCACCTGGCTGGCTCAGTCAATAAAGCGTGACACTCTTGATCTTGGGGAGGCGGGGAGGGGGGAGGAGGAGGGGTGTGAGTTCAAACCCCACAGCGGGCAAAAAAATAAAATATAATGTCTGTCAAAGCAATATCGAACATTTACATTACAACTTTGTAAATATTTATAGCAGAGCCACATTATGTACTATGATTACATTTGTTTTGGGGTAATCAATCCAGATTGGAGGAGGATGGGGAAAAGATAAAACAGAGTACTCGATGTGTTTGAACAAAAGGAAATTTACACTTAAGATTTTGGCGCTAAATTAATACCTAACACCAAAAAACTATGCATGTGAAAAACAGGACAATTATTAACTACAGGGAACAGAAAAAAACGTACAATTGTAACAGCATATTATAGAGTACTATGTGCCTGACACTGTTCTCATATATGTAAAGCACCTACAGAGAGCTTTGTAACACTTACGTGCAATACAAGGATAAGGATTTGATGTTCTAGGCTCAGAAAGAGGCTGACTTAGATTCCAGCCTAGTTTGTGCATTTGGTAGGTAGCTTCTTGACCTTAAGCAAGTCACTTTTGGGACTGTTTCCCGAGGGACAAGTCTGACTTTGCAGGATTGATGTAAGGAGTGAAAGAGCTATTATTGCATGTAAAGTGTTCAGCACAATGCCTGGCCCATTTTAAGTCCCAATACAGAAGAGCTGTTATTAAGAACAGGGTATTTTCATCATGCTATCCTGTCAGAAGGGAAAACTCCAGTAAGTCTAAACCAAATGGACTTTTCTGTGGGGAGTGAGGAGGAGCAGCACACACACAAGTGCTTCTTTACAAAGAAAATATTAGAATCAAAAGTGTGGTGTCCCTTCTAAGAGGTCAACTTCCAATGAGTATATTGCCTGTATCAAAACTAAAACTTAAGGGGGGGAAAAATCACAGAATACATTTGAAGTTCTTTTAGATCATATTCATTTTTCCAAGTCACTGACATCCAAGACGAATCCTTTTGGTGATAATAAAAACTTCCTGTTATACATGTAAAGACCTTCTAGATCAGCACTATCCACTGTAACTTCCTGCAATTATAGAAACGTTCTATGTTTGCATAGCCCAATACCACAGGCACCTGCCATACAGGACCACTGAGGACTTGAAATGCGGCTAGTGCAACCAAGTAAATTAATTTTAAATTTTTACAAGTTGTAATTTATTTAAATGTAAATAGCCACATGTAGCTAGCGACCACCATTGTAGACAGGTCAGCTGTATGATTTGGTTGCTCAAGTGCCTGGGAAGATCTACATTAATACTCGTAGTAAGTAGCCTTTTTTTTTTTTTTCTGTAGTAAGTAGTCTTAAGTTATTGTGCAGTTAACCATGTTTAATTACATCAGCTGTTGAGAATGATATAACAGCAAGCTTAGTGTAAGTATTTGTAGATATGTACTGTACTCAAATCTTGGTTTGGGATTAGGATATTAAAAGATATTAAAAGATATTAAAAGATGGATCTTTTAATATCCTAAAAAACTGCAGCATAGTTTTTTTTTTTTTTTAAATCCACTGATTCCTGAAACATAAATACCTAAGCAAAAATCAATCAACTCTTTTTTTCTTTTTTGACTTGTATGGAACAGTCACATCAATAGCTGACTGGCACATACCAGGACATCACGACATCACTTAAGTCCTAGCCTTGACCAGGTGCATAGGTTTGGGTTTATTCTGCTCTTTCCAACATGACAGGTGCTCCCTTAAAAAAGCTGGGAGTATGTAAAAAACAAGTGGCCTGTTTTATAAAACTCTAAATTTATTCAAAGTGTTAAAAGATTTCACTCACCTCTCCAAAATACTTTATATTTAAAAAAAATCAAAACTGTTTTCTATTTTCTCAGCCACTGTACAAGCTGCTGCTTCCCCTTCTGGGCACCAGCCTCTGCCCTTCTGACCCCTTTCCCCTCCCTCCCTTCACTGTCAATATTGCTATAAGTTTGTTTATAAAACTCTCCTTCCCCACTCCCTCCATGTCCTGCCCTGCAGATGTAGCTTCCTTTCCAGACGTCAGGCCCTTGGCTGCAGGTAAGGCAGGTCAGATGGGCAGGATACTCAGGCAATGCCTGAAGGGCAGAATGCTTTGTGCTTCTGGGAGAAAGGCTGATTGGCTTTTTTCTTGATCAAGTGGAGGATCATTGTTTATTCTTCCCCATGGACATCTGTTGAGGGCCAAATATTTGGCTTGGGGTTGTCCATGGCTGGGCAGCCCTGCCCCATCTCCGGTTTCCCCCAGGCATAGGTCCATGACAGCTGGGTCTGACCACCATACCATTTGTCTGCCTGTGGATCGTGAAGGACAGAGAGTGGCACATGGCTAGAGTAGGGCTTGAGAATCCCCAACTTTTCAGAACGTGGGCACCAAATCCCCAGGGGAGGAATTTTTGGTTTTTGGCAGGCAAAATCAGGGTCAGCCAGAACCATGGAGGTAGGGATGAGGGGGAAAGGTCTAACCACATAGCTCTGGGGTGAGCAATGTTCCGGCTGCCAAAACCCCCTCCCCTCTTCCATTTCCCCCCACTCCCCTTCATCTTGTAGGTTGCAAGATGATTCAGGAAAGGAGGACAGAAAAGAGGAAAAGGATTCTGTTCTGCTGATAGGAAAAAGGCAGGAGATGACAGAATATTCGGGGCTGGGGGAGGCCTGCTGGAGTCTGTAGTTGTCATAGCTTCCCAGTTCCAGGAGGGAGGGTGGCAGGGCCAGGAGCCAGGCCCGCAGAGGCTTCATCAACTCTGTTCCTTGTCCTTGACTAGTAAGACTGTGTGCTGGCCCCCACTGGACACCGATAAGACCACACGGTTCTCCAGCTGTTTGCCAGTCATCTCCACTGGGCTCCAGGCATCCTCCTCCTGCCCTGTGCCCAGCTGGTAGTTGGTACCCATGCCCCAGGCGAAAACACGGCCTACAGGGGAGAGAAATGGGGACAGCTGTCTCCAGGACCCCTAGCCCCACCTTTCTATACCGTGAGAAGCCTAGAACATGAGGGTGAATTTTGGCTTTGGCCTTTAGCAGCCTAGCAATGTCCCAGCCTCTGGGAGTTCAGGGAAGCTGGGAGAAGCCAAGGAGATGATGGATTAAAAAAATAGCTTTGTCAACCAGAGACCACACTCCTTACACATTGCCAAAGACTTCTCCCTACTCCTAGGCATGGCATTCAAGGCTCTACATGACTGGCCACTCCCCAAAACCCTACACCACCCTCCATTCCAAGGACCTTTGAGACTGCTCTAGGTGTTCCTGTGCCAGGGATGCCTTTCATTGCTTATCATATTGGACTGAACCTTTAAGGTGTAGTACAAGCTCTACTTTCTCAGTAACTCTTCCCAGATAATTCCAGTCAAGTGCTTCCATCAGCTCCAGACTTCTCAAGGTGTCCATGGCTATCGATCTCACCCACTTAGGCTTTGGTGACCATCTGGTTCACAGCCTCCTCTGCTGTGCCTGCTGGAACCCCAGTGACTAAGCCTTCTTTCTCCTAATAAAAGTCTAAGTACAACTCCCTGGGAAGCTGGCACATACTAGGTTGTAGACAAAGGCGTCACCTTGGTGGAAAGTGTAAAGAGAAGACTGAGTTAAGACTCTGGAGACCTGGGGGTGCCTGGGTGGCTCAGTTGTTAAGCGTCTGCCTTCGGCTCAGGTCATGATCCCAGCATCCTGGGATTGAGCCCTGCGTCGGGCTCCCTGCTCCGCGGAAAGCCTGCTTCTCCCTCTCCCACTCCCCCTGCTTGTGTTCCCTCTCTCGCTGTGTCTCTCTGTCAAGTAAATAAATAAAATCTTAAAAAAAAAACTCTGGAGACTTGGGATTCAAGTCCTACTGCCTGTAGGTGATGTATCTCTACTATTTTTCTATGCTACAAAACAAATATCCCTTCTTAAAATAATACGTTTACTCATTTTATGTTCATCAAAGCCAGAGCTTCTGACAGGAGAAAAAGCAACGTTATCACAAATAGTGCTCTCTGCATCTCGGCTCTATTTGATGATGGACATCACAGCCTGACGAGAAGTTTGGTAAGAATCATGACCCCCAGGACCCAACCACACCAGTGGCAGCCCCAACTCACCATCCTTGGTCACAGCATACCCAACGGAGGCCCCACAAGCCACTGAGGAGACAGCAGGGAGCCTTGGGATGAGGGTGGGTATGCTTTTCTCCTCGGCGCCCTCCCCAAGGCCCAGTCGCCCATACTCAGCCCGGCCCAGGCTGTACGCTTTTCCTGTGGGAGGAGGGAGGAGATGAAGAGTAGCAGAGGGCATGCTCCAGGTAGGTCAGGTGAGTTCCCAAATCCAAGGGAGCTGGTCCCCACTCCCAGGGTGGTGAGAAGCAGGTCTGCAGCATCTGTCCCAGTTTTGGGGGAGGTCTGGGAGAACCCCCAAAGGACCCCACTGAGCTCATACTTGGAAGAGTGCCAAGACTCTGGGGGATGGGGATGGCCCTCATGGACCCACATCTGGCCCAACCCACGGAGCAGGCCCAGGTTCCAAGGACCATGGTCTCAGGAGTCTGGCTAGGCTATGCCCAAGGAATACTCCACCCCCAACCCAGAGGTCCCACCTTCCGAATCCATGCAGACTGTATGATGCTGGCCACCAGAGAAGCCCACCCAGGACTTGGTAGAGTTCTTGAAGGATGTCAAGTTTTGGGGTACAAAGCAAGATTCTGTGCCTGGGGTTCCTGGGAGGAAAATGCCAGAATAGAGCTGTCAGGAGTGAAGCTGTCCAAGGAGCTGTGCTTCTTCATCCTCTCACACAGTGAGGCCACCTCCTCCACACAAATACCAAGGTAAGGATATTCTCAGTTTACAGATAACAGAACTATGGCTCTGAGGGGTTAGCGGACCCCAACAAGGGTGCCCAACAAATGAGTGGTGAAGCCAGGATTGGAACCCAAGTCACTCTGGGCTACGCCAGATGTTGGGCTTGGGACTCACCAAGCTGATGATAGTTGGAGAGGCCAAAACCATATACATGGCCCTCGCAGGAGATGGCAAAGGTGAAGTAGGCACCACAGAAGGCGTCCTGGAATCTCACATGACCCCGGCTCCCTCTGGATTTCAGCATCACACACTTGGGAACCAGGAGTCGTTCTGTAGCAGAGAGGAGGCCGGGGTCAGTGGCAGACACACAGCTTCTCTCTCTGCCCTGTGTGTTTTTTCCCAATACTGTAGCCCCTGGAGGGAAGCTAAGCAGGGATTTTTCTTCCTTTTCCCTATTACAAAGAAGAGGAAACAGGCCAAGAGAGTACAAGTGCCTCACTCAGACTCCCAGAGTCGTAGAAGGTAACATTTACATGGAACTTACCATGTGCCAAACATTCTTCTATGTTAACTCCATTTCACTTCACCATGACCCAGTGAAGTACGTTTAGAGACGAGAAAACTACATCCAGGGTCCCCCAGCGAATAGGTAGTAGAACCAGGATTCAAATCCAGGGTGGTCTGGCTCTAGAGTCAGAGTTCTCACCTATCACCACAGGCCTAGCTGATGCAAGCCGAAACTCACACAGAGAATCCCTCCTGCTTCTGACCTTCACCAGGGGGTGGCTTGCCAAGTTGCTCTGCCCTGCCAGACAGACCTAAGCCACCTACCAAGGCCCTGCCGGCCACCACGGTTGGCAAATAATTCAGGCACACGGCCCAGCTGGCCCTGCTCCCCGCAGCCCAAAGTGTAGAGGTCACCATCAGCTGTCAGCATCACCAGGTGGTCATTTCCTGCAGGGGAGAGGAAGGCACAGGATACAGGGCTTGTCTGTACGGCCCAAGACTAGGCTAGCCCCAGAACGAGGTTCTCCAGCTCCCGCCTTGAGCACCCCCAGGCTCACCTGAGGCCACCTTCACTACAGGCGCGGTCAGCTGCACTTGCACGGGCACCGTGCTCTTCTTCATGGGCTCCAAGAGTCCAATCACACCGTTATTGTCCTGGAAGGCAGGACAGAGCATTTACCTGCCAGTCCTGTCTGCCCCACACCAGCCAGATCCAGGCTTGCAGCAACCACAGAGCTGTCTGGTGAAGGGGACTGGTGCCAGACGGAGATGAAGAGGTGGGCAGGAGCCAGGACAAACAGTGAAATACTTAATGAATGAAATCATTATGTGGCTTGTGATTTACATTAAAGTAACAAAGGAGTAGGGTAATGGATGGGAGTAGAGAGGAAACAAGTTTGGCGACAAGCTGATGACTGTGGAGGCGAGTAAATGGGTATTCGATATATTTTTCTGATTACCTTTATGTGTTTGAAATTCTCCATAAGTAGCTTTAAAAACAGCCATGATGAGGACACACCTCATCAGGTTCCTTTATTTTTGACATTTCAAAATAAATACCAAAGTATCAAGACAATTTTAATGCTGACTCTACTGTTTTAAACTCCCTTGCCTCAGAAATTCTGAGATGTGACAATCCTTCTCGTGCACCCCCAAACCCCTGACAGATGTAGAAGAGGGCTGGGAAGGGGGGAGACTGAAGGCAGGGAGATGGGTGAGGACAGCAGGCTTCCTGAATCAGCCTCAGCCCAAAGGCATCCTTGACCCACCCCTTTCCCAAGATAACACACTTCATAATATAGACTCGAGAAAAGAGCCAGTGGTGTGGACAGGCCTGGATGAAGAGACCTGGGTCTGGGCCCAAGCTCTGCCTCTGGGCCTTGATTTCCCCACCATTAAGTACAACAGGGAGGTGGAGATGGATTATCACTGAGGTCTCACCAGTGAATTCTGCCAGCCAACCAGCCCTCATGCGGTCTTCCAGACCCAGTCTTACCCGGAAGGAGCCCCAGAGGAAAACGCGACCATCCTCAGTGAGGGCTGCTGTGTGACTGTCTCCTGCTGACACCTGTACCACTTTCTCTTGCAGTTCCACTTTCCCGGGGACCATCTCTGAGCCCTCCACTGATGTGTCCCTTCCCAGGGCACCCTCATCGTTGCAGCCGAAGGAGTAGACCTGTGCCCAAGATGCCCCCATTAGCGCAAGGTCTGGCTTCAGTCCATTCTTGCACTCCCTGTGCAGCTAACCAGCTCCAACTCCACAGAGTGATGTGTGTGGCTCAAAGCTCCTTCCCCAAGCCCCCCAACCCCAGGCCCTGTCCAATCCTGTGCCACCCACCGCAACCTACCTGGCCACTTTTGCTTAGACACACAGTATGCATGCCCCCAGCCTCGGCTTGCACGATGTCCTCCGGAATGGGAACCAGGGCCGGCTTCTTCCTCTCCATCACATTCTCGCCTAGCCCCAACTGGCCCACGTCGCCCTGGCCCAGTGTTAGCACCATGCCTGGTTCTGTGCTGTGGGACCTATGGGAGACTGAGGGGTGAAGAAGACAGCCCTTGAGTGTGCAGGATAACAGAAGAGAGAAGGGGTCACTGCATGGGCTCTGGGACCACACAGACCTGGGTTCAAGCCCCTGCTCTGCCACAGACCAGTCCTAGGATCTTTCTAGGAAGCCTAAGTCTCCTCATCTGTAAAATGTGAACAGCAAAGATAACTATGTCACAAGGTTTTTGTGAAAATTAAAAACTGAGCACGTTATTAATATGAGGGACAATCAACATTGTGAAATGAATCTTGGTGGGGAGGGGAAGAGAACAGTGAGGATACAGATGACTTTCCTGAATAGCTCTGAGTTCTCAGGAGTCATGGTGCCAGCAGTGAGGACTCAGATAATGTCTACCCTTTACTGGCTGCTTATTCTACAAATGTTAAATTGCTTTGTAGTCCCCTAAATTATACTACAAACCTTCCATATTTAGGCTCCTGTTTTACAGGAAAGGAAACAGAGGCTCAGAGAGGTTAAGTAACCCTCCCAGAGTCACGGAGCTAATAAACAGTAAAGTTTGCACTGAAACCAAAGGAACCTACATGGGTCAGGGCACTGTCCCTAGCCTCCACCATCAGGCTGCGACTTAACTCCCAGACATATTCCCACGGAACCCTTCCGCTCCTACCCGGCAGCTGACCCGCAGCTGAAGAGGAAGGGGCAGGAGTTGAGAGAGAAGACAGGCATTTGTGGAAAGGTACAAGCCAACCAGTGGAAGGCACAGGGCCAACTGCTGGCTAATGGCGGCTGCCCGCGGCCCCGGACAGCCAATGGTGTCCAGCTCCTCCCCCCGGGGGTGTGGCCACGGCTGCCGGGGCAGCCACGGCCGCGTAGAGGGTGCCTTGGGCAGGGAGCCACCTGGTCGGGTTTTCTGGTCAGGAGGGCTCGGCCTCTGGGCACCTGGAACGCGATGGGAGGCAACAGCCCTCACTGCCTGGTTACGACGGTCTGCAAAAGACAGACACCATCTGAGCGTCGGTCCACACTATTCCCTCCCAGATTGGGGGTGGATTTCTCTCCTCCCCGTCTCCCTCCAGGGTCCCAGGAAAGAGCAAAAGCACAGCTGCCTCCCTCAAACGCTACCAGGACGTATCTCGTTTTCCTCTTAACAGCCCAGCGAGATTGGTGCTGTTCTTGCCTCTGTTTTATTAACGGGGTAAAGTCAAGCTCAGCGACGTTAAGTCACTTGCCCAAAGTTACACGGCTAGAAAGTGGCAGAGCCTGGACTTGAACCCACTTCTGGAAGTCAATGGTCCCAGCCATAGTACATTACTGCCTGGAGCAAAGTCCTAGCTAGGGTCTTGTTTTTTTGTTTTTTTGCCAGTACTGCCTGAGTGCTTGCAGACAAGTCTCCTCCTTTATGACTTCCAGGGGGTGGGATTCAGTAAGCTACAAGGGACCCTGCATCTGGGTGGAGCTCCTGGGCTTCCAGGCCCCTCAGCTTCAGATGTCAGGGAGGCAGGAGCCCAGTCCTAGATTCTGGGGGCTCCAAGAGGGCCCCCATTCAGAGATAGAGGCCAGCGCCAACTTACCCTTCACCTTCTTGCTTTTGGGGAGAGCATCTTCTGGGGGTGACCTTCTCTTAGCTATACGTTTGGGTGGCATCTTCCTTTCCTGAAAAACCGAGGCAAATATTCCGTTTCAGAAATGGCAATCACTTTCCTGCTCTAACTAGGCAACATTTACCAAAAACCCTAAAAATGGTAAGAGGAATTCGGCAATTCCACTTCTCAGAATTTATCCGAGAAGAACAAGAACAGAATAATGGATACACCCAAAGATTAGGTTCCATAAATCTTCTCTACTGTATTCTTCCTAATATTAAAAAAAATAGGGGCACCTGGGTGGCTCAGTTGGTTAGGCGGCTGCCTTCGGCTCAGGTCATGATCCTGGAATCCCGGGATCGAGTCCCACATCGGGCTCCCTGCTCAGCGGGGAGTCTGCTTCTCCCTCTGACCCTCTTCCCTCTCGTGCTCTCTATCTCTCATTCTCTCTCTAATAAATAAAATCTTAAAAAAAAAAAAAATAGAACCACCCATGTGCTCCATGGTAGGGGGCTGGCCAGAAAATATGCAGTATATTCAGGATAGAAGAGTATGAGGCCATTAAGAGGATGCTTTCAGAGATGTGTTTATTGAATAGGAAGATGTTCACCATTGCCAAATAATACAAGCAGCTTGAAAAAACAGTCCATATTCCCATTAAAAAAGGCATACACATGCAAAAATAGGTGTAGAAGACTGTGTGGAAGGAAATACATTTATTAACAATGGTTAGTAACCTCTGGAAAATGGGATTATGGACACTTTTTTTTTTGTACCTTCCTATATTATGTAAAATATCTGACAAAGAACTTTACATGTTTTATTTACTTATTTAGGGTTTATTTATATATTTTTGTAATTTCTCCACCTGTGAAACTCAAACTCATGACCCTGAGATCAAGAGTTGCATGCTCTTCTGACTGAGCCAGTCAGGCACCCCTATTTTTTATTTTATTATAAAAAATTAAAGCCTGGAACAACATCAAGTAAAGTATCTCTCACAGCTCCCCCTCAACCCTGAGATAACCACTAATAACTTTGGGAAAGCACTACTGTTATCAGAGCAAAAGAAAAACCAACCAAACAAAAAAACAAAAAAGCTATTCTCATTACATAAAATCAAACCAGACCATCTGTGCCCTCTGATCTAAAAGTGCCACTCCTGAGAAGACACTGGCTTTCCTAAAGAGTCCAATTAATAAATAAACACTGTATATACTCACCAGGTGTTACAAATAGGAGAAAGGAAACCACTTGTGGGTGACAAGAAAGGTTCTTGTCCTTGACCTAGCACCATCCAGGACAGCTGAGGGCTTCAGCCCCAAACGGCTCCCTCATTCAGTTGCTGCTGCCCCACAATGGTCTCCCTGTCTTCCTCAAGGCTGCTGGGAACAGAGACATTCTCCCCAGCTCTCTCAATTCCAATCCAGCCCAAACTGTGTCCAAAGCCTTCTTCCTCCACACACCCAGCCCCGGAAATAAATCTTTATTGAGCCCTGGTCTTTAAGGCTGTGAAACTGCCTAAGCCTGGGGCTCTCCCATCTGGATTGCACACGTTCTGGAATCGTTGGCAGGGGTCAGGGCCCTTGAGAGCTACCCTGATGTAGAAGTGGGATAGCCTGTGCCCGTGGAGAGCCCTCAGGGCCAGAATCTGGGCTCAGCTACTTTCTAGCTGCTTGACCTTGGGCAGAATTACGTAACCTCTTCATGAGTCAGTTTCTTCCTCAGTAAAACAGGGATAATAATTGTACCTACATCTTTGTTATGTAGGATTAAATGAGCTAATGCTGTAAACTATACATTCATATCGGTATTATAACATCTAGAGCCTACCCCAGGCAATGCTTGAGCATAGCTCTAATCTAATCTAACCCAGCTCTCCTCCATTTTGGAGCTAAGGGATGAGACTCTACCCAAGACTATAAATGGAGTAAGAACTTCGAGAGCCCTTCTCAGGCTCAGCTGTGGGCCTAACCGGCACCTTCTCCCCATCTCCTTCTTCCAGCAGGTCCTAGAGCATCAGCCTCTCCAGCTCCACTGCCCGGTAATGAACACAAGGCCAAAGGCCTCTGATTTTCTGAGCACATTTCTGCTAACAATCCTGGGGGAAAACAAAGAACTCAAGATAAGGAAGTAGCCAAAGGTTCAGAATCCTCCACGCCTGTGTAGGCTGAGCGTCTTCTACAGGTCGTGACTGGCCCAGTTCTGACTGTGATGAGGTGGCAGTTCTGAACGTCACCCAACTTTTATTCTCTTGGGGTGTGACGCCTCCTCTCCAACCCACCTCTTTGAGACCCCTCTTACCATGCTAAAGATGCACATTCTCTGGGATTAGAGGGAACTGGATTCATCTGCTAGAGCTGTGGCTTGCTCACCCCAGCTTTTGTGACCCTGGTTGGCCTGCAGCCTTGACCTCTCTGCGCTGTAGCCTCTTCTGTAAAGGGGAATGCTATGGTACTTCTCAGGGCTGCTGTCAAAACTGAATGAAATGGGGGCCCCTGGGTGGCTCAGTCATTAAGCGTCTGCCGTCGGCTCAGGTCATGGAGCCCCACATCGGGCTCCTTGCTCAGTGGGGAGCCTGCTTCTCCCTCCACCTGCCGCTCCCCCTGCTGTGTTCCCTCTCTCACTATCTCTCTGTCAAATAAATAAATAAAATCTTAAAACAAAAAAAACCCTGAATGAAATGTTTGTAATGGACTTTGCAGTGCTAAGCACACAGTAAGTACTCAATACATGGCAGCATTTATTCATTTGTCCCACAAATATTTATTGAGTGCCTATTTACAGTGCTTGGCGTTGGGCCGGGTGTAGCAGGGAAAGAGGAGACTACCCTCTCTGTTCTCATGGAGCTTACATTGTAGTAGGAAAGAAACATTACAGATGGTGATGAGAGAAAGATCAGCAAACTGACATAAGAGATAACTTGGGGGTGCACAACAATGTGTGTGTGCTTAACGACACTGAGCTATATGCTTAAACATGGTTAAAATGGAAAAAAATGGTGAAAATGGTAAATTTTATGTATATTTTGTCACACCAAAAAAAAAAAAAGAAAAGAACTTGGGGTAGGGAAGAGAGTGGTCAGGGAGGTGACCTTTAAGCTGGGACCTGAAATATGTATGAGAGAAAGCTAGCAGGGCAAGACCAGGACAAAAGTGGCCCAGGACACAGTGTGGTAAGTTTGGGAACCAGGAGAGGCCAGTGCGGCTGCAGCTGGAGAACTGGTCAGATGGCATGAGGTGAGCAGGGGCTGGATCATGCAAGGCCTTCTAGGGAAAATGGAAAACTTTTAAGAAAGTCTTCATCAGATTTACATTCTTTTTTTTTTTTTTAAGATTTTATTTTGAGAGAGAGAGACACAGCGAGAGGGAACACAAGCAGGGGGAGTGGGAGAGGGAGAAGCAGGCTTCCCGTGGAGCAGGGAGCCCGAGGCGGGGCTCGATCCCAGGACCCCGGGATCATGACGACCTGAGCCGAAGGCAGACACTTAACGACTGAGCCACCCAGGCACCCCTCATCCTTTTCTTTTTTTAAGATTTTATTTATTTATTTGAGAGAGAGAGAGAGCATGAGCACAAGTGGGGGGAGGCAGAGGGAGAAGCAGGCTCCGCACCGAGCAGGGAGCCCAATGCGGGGCTCGATCCCAGGACCCCGGGATCATGACCTGAGCCGAAGGCAGACACTTAACGACTGAGCCACCCAGGCGCCCCCAGATTTACGTTCTTAAACGGTTGTTCTCGCTACTGTAAAGAAACTGGGATCGACTGGAAGAGGAGGCCATTGCAGGCATCCAAATAAGAGAAGATGGTGACTTGACTGGGTCTGTCTGAGGTAATAGAGAAAAAGGACACAAAACAGATCAACTTAGGAGACAGATTCAATTCATGGATTAGATGTGTGGAGTTAGGGAGAGGGAGGGATCCAGAATGACTTTCTTCATCCTAAAAAAACCCAGGGGATCCCGGGCAGGCCTCCCCAGGATCCCCCTATGAGTTTGGCCAAACATAAGGATTCCCAGGCGTTGGCTTAAATGAGGAGGATGGATTGGAACACCTGGCTGGCTCAGTTGGTGGAGCATGTGAATTTTAATCTCAGGGTTGTGACTTCGAGCCCCACATTGGGTATAGAAATTACTTAAAAATAAAATCTTAAAAAAAAATGACTAGGATGGTGGACTTCTATTTAGTGAGGCGGGAGAACACTGGGGGACAAATGCTTGAGGAGAGACCCAAGAGCCCCATTTTACCCGATGTTTTCCTTAAGTCTGAAGTCGCTGGGAGCCAACGAGAGGGAATGTTAAGTATGCAGAGCTGGGTGGGTTAAGGGGTGTGGGAGAGAACAGGTATCCTTGTTTCAGGTAGACAGCTTGTATGTCTGGCCAAGGACCTATCCTGCCAAAAGTAAATCTTCCGTCAGCTCATCAGAATGACCTGTGGCAGGGAGGGAGACCATGTTGTAGCATGGAAAAGTGCTCACAACAAGAAGTGAAAACAAAGGGAAGAGAATTATGTCAGCATACTGGTGCTGATGCTAGGCTGACCTGTAGGCAAGGCCTGGAGTGGAGACGGAAAAATAAACATGAGATGATTGGTATCACAGGGCGCTAACAAAAACATGTGTTACTGTGGGTTGGAACCCAGTGAACATCTCCTTAGCCACCCACGTTTTGGTGAACATTGCGGGGCATGTCACTGCAAGCTAGGCATACTGATCATACTTTACAGGTGAGGAAGCTGAGGCTCAGAAAGGTAAAGTACCTCACCCAGGACTGGAAAAGGGAGTGAAGGTCTCAACCAAGCTGGTCAGACTCCAAAGCTGGTGCCCTTGCCAACTTCCTCCCCAGGCTCCCCAGTCTCTCAGCCAGCCTGGGCACTCTCTCTCATACCCTCTCACCAAGAAAAGATAGCCACTTGGCTCTGGTCTTCCTGATCCCCACCCCATGTCATTCCATAAGTCAATCATGATCTTTCTAAACCTCAAACCTGAAACAAGCGGCTTCCTTGCTCAGACTCCCCTGTGGTTCCCTCTGCCTGGAAGACAAAGCCCACATTTCTTAGCCTGGTGCCAAAGGCCTCCGGAGTCTGGTACTGACATAACGTTTGGCCTCATCCCTTCTCTGTCACATCCTCCTTTTGCTTCCTACACAATCTTAGATTGCTTACTGTTCTCTCCAGACCATTTGCATCTCTATACCTTCCCATCCCTTATCCTACTGGAAGAATGTCTACTAAGTCCCAAAGTCACCTCCACTGGTAAACTTCCTGGTCCCTCCCCTCATCCTAAACTAACCATTCTCTCCCAGAGAAACTGGGATCTTCTGGATCATAATTACTCTGGTTTACATGTCTGTCCACCATACCAACCTACTCCTTAAAATACGAGCCACTCTGGGGCACTGGCCACTCCTTTCTGTATGCCAACAGTCTTTTACTTCTCACAACAAGCTGAAGCAGCACTATCACTCCTAATTCAACTGATGGGCCTGAGGCTCAGAGAATACAGCCAGTAAAAAAGAGTCAGGAATAGAAACCAGGTATATCTGATTGACTTAAAAACAAAAACCAGGTCGGCCAAAGGCAGCCATGATCCAGGCAGGGGTGGAGGCAGCCCAGGCAGGCCTCCCCAGAATCCCCCATGAGCTTGGCCAAACACAAGTGAGGGCAGAAGCCAGCTCAGTGGAAGAAGATGATGAGACCAGAGAGGAGACACTGAGGCAGCTTGGGTCTAAGTGGGTGGGCCAGGTGGGTGTGGGAGCCACTGAAGGACATGGGAAAGGACAGACCTGAGTTCTCTGGGAGCCTCAGAATATTTGCCTCTCAGATGGAAGACTCTAGGTACTGCAGAATGCTGTTGTGAGCAATCCCAGAGGCAGGGCAGGGGATGGGGGCACCTCCTAAAAGGTGGAGCCCTGGGGGCACCTGGCTGGCTTACACAAAAGAGCATGCGACTCTTGATCTCAGGGTCATGAGTTCGAGCCCCGCAGTGGGTATGGAGATTAAAGAAAGAGAGAAGTTAAAAATAAATAAATGAATAAAATAAAAGGTGGAGCCCTGCACCCATTACCCACCTGCCTATCCTCGATTGCACAAATCAGTCCTTTGTACAGACTCCTTCTAGAACTGCTCTGGGTGTGTTTTCTTAACCACACACTTAAGTGTCTGGACTAGAAATAAGTAGCAATCTTTTGTCCCCACCCCTCACTCCCTAACAGACAAACACAGCTTCCATCCTCAGCAGCTTACAGTCTGGGAGAAGAGTGAGACATAGAAATAAGTAGAACTCAGATAGAGAGTCAACTTCCACTAAGAGCCACCTATGATGCTAGGTGTGATCACCCTGGTTTTACAGATAAGAAAGCTGAGGCTCAGGAAAGGTGCCCCAGACAAAAGTGGGATTAGATCCCAGGTCTCCTGAGCACTCCCCATCAGGGCCAGGCACCCCCACCCTCCCTCCCCTCTTCTCCCTGGGCTCCAGTTTCCTCATGTAGTGAATGAAGGCACACCAGACTAGACAGTCTACCAGGGGCCTGGTGTTCCTGTTGTGACCTCCAACGACCTCTCCACAGCCTCGTTTCTGCAAAGACAGACAGGGCCCTCTCTGACCACAGCAGCTGTCCCGGCCACCACCCCCACCTCACCAACGTCAGGAGGCAGACACTTGCCTGCCAGTCTCAGAAGCTTAAGAATCTCTTTGTGAGTTAAGGTCCCCGGGAGGAGAGGGTCTCATGTGTCAGCAAACACTTGCTGAGCTCCTGCTATGTGCCAGGCACAGCACTGGTATACTTCACCCCAGGAGTTCCTCGCCAGAGGCGCCCCCTTGTATACAGAGTTATGCCTGGGGGAAAGGGACCTCAGCTTCCACCGGATGTTAGAATCACTGCTTTATTAAAAATACAGGATATTAGTAATTCTCACAACATGCCTCTTACCTTCATTTTACAGATAAGGAAACTAACACCCAGGCAGACTGGGTGGGTGGCCCAAGGGCACCCAACTAGTAAGTTGCAAAGCTGAACAGGATTCCTGCTCTTGGGATGTCTTTGCAACAAGAGCAAGGTGAACTCCGAATTCTTCTTTCCAGACTCCGCTCTGCTGCCCTTCTTGGGTGACACCGTCCCTGCCTCCTCCACCACCACCCAGTGTTTCTTGGTCTTGCACTCCAGACCTTTCAAGACCCAGCCCTTGCTGTATTATCTTGTTACTCCCTTCTTTTACTCCAGACTTCAACATCTGTGGTATTCCTAACCCCAATACTCACCTACACCTTCATGCCTTGGCATGCCCCTGCCTGGATGGCACTAACCCCTCCACCCCGGGCAGCTGAATAACTCCAATTCTGGTCAAAACCCCGTTCAAGAGTCACCTCACCTGGAAAGCCATCCTGACCCCCTCAGGAGTTCCCGGACCACTCCACACACTCAACTTCTGCTAGGGCACACAAGTCACACTTGGCTGGAGCACCTCCATTACCACTTGACGAATGAATGGTTTCACGGACACACTTCGGTGACACACTGGACCAATAACTGAGGACCCCAGATGGGTCTCCCCAAGGAGACCGGGGGCTCTGTAAAGGCCACGCGGGGCCCTTCTCACCACTGTTCCCCAGCCCTGCCAGAGCAGCACGGAGTAGAAAGCCAGTAAATAATCGGTTGACAGATGAGTTGATGCGGGGTTCACAGCACACCTCTCCAAGAGTCAACAGTCTTCGTCCTGGTGCCTGTTGACGCTGAGACTTCTTTCCCTGCAGAAGACCCTCACCAGCCTACCCTCGCGCTCCTAAGGCACACACTCTCGCCGGGCAGGATCCCTCCCCTGGCTCTGTCACACGCATCCTCCGGACGAACGCTGGGCAAAACCACTTTCCCCGCTCCGGAAGCGCAGCCCCGGTCGGGGCGGCCGGTCCCGGGCCGCGAGGCGCGCGGCTCTGCGCCCGGCGGGGTCACCGCGGCCGCGCGCACACGGCCGGCCGCGCTCGGGCCGTTTGAATCTCCCGCCCGCGCGGCCGCCGCGGGCCGGACGAGAGAGGCGCGGCGGCAGAGGGGCCGCGCGGCCCTCGCTCGAGCCAGGCGGGGCCAGGCCGGCGTCAGGGCGCCCCGCGGGGCCGGGGACCCGCGCGCCCGCACCCGCGCCTTCCTGCCGCCCGGCTTCACGTGGGGCCGGCGCCGCCGACACGAGCGCGCGGGCAACGGCCCCGGCCCGCCAGGGCTCCGGCTGTGGCCGCCCCGCGCGCCGCCCTCCGCTCCGACCCTCCGCCCCGACCCTCCGCCCGTGACGGGCGCGACCTACCTCGCTGCAGGTCCGCCACAAGCAACTCCTCCGCTCGCCGGCCCGGCCGCGAACTGCCCCAGAGCATGCGCTCTGCAGGCCTCCGGCCCCGACCCCGGGCCAGAAAGGAAAACAAAGAGCCCGGCGGCCCCTGGCGGCCGCACCGGTAACTGCAAGTGGCGCGCTCGGGCTAGAGCGCTCTAGACCCGGTTCTCTCCGCCCCTGGCCCGGGTACGGTGGGTATGTATTTGGGAGGCTCCAAATCCGGACCAGTGGACTGACAACCAGAGACTACTTGAAACCAGGTGGGGCAGGGACTGTAGAGATAATGATCTTCCCTGCTCTCAAAGGGGTCCTCGTCAGAGAAAGATGAGAAATCAGACCATCAACAACCACGCAGGGGCATCTGGCTGAGCCTGGGGCTTGAGAAAGGCTTTCCAAGGTAAGTCTAAGAGGGCAGGGCATCTAGGAGATGCATCCCTTGCGATGACAGGGAGCGATGAGAACCTAGGGTGGTTGCGGAAAACTGCCAAGGTGTGATTTGAGCAGAGGGTGCCCGTAGGAGTGGAGAACGCTCGAGAGGGAGAGTCAGATCATGATGCAGGGCCTCGTGTGTCTAAGGAGTACAGCCTCTATCCCGAGGCAGTGGGGAGTTAGGGAAGGGATCTGAGCAAGGGAGTGACATGAGCAGAGTCTTATTTCAGAGCAAAATGGAGAATGGAGTTGGTGGGAGGGGAAACTAAGGGGGGCGGGTAGGTGGGCAAGAGAAGCGAAGGAGACCAGCTAAGAAAGATGAGATTGTGGACTGGGGTTGGGTGCTGGAGGTGGGAAAAAGCATCAAGTTGACTGTGCGCTCTTGTTAACACACTCCTTCTTCAGGATGGATACAAACAGTTCAGGATTTCAGGTGTTCCCTGAGGTGACTTGACTGTGTTGGGGGATTTCTGAGATCAGAGCAGGGACCTCTGCAGAAGGGCATTTTCTCCATTTCATGTTGATTCTGACTCTGAAAGTCATTCAATCATACCTGAACCCGAGATGGACACTTTTGATGAGTATTTACCAACCGAATTTCTCCTACAATGTGGAGGCCACCCCAAAGTACTCCCTATCTTCAGATCTCTTACCTCTCCAAGTTTACCTCCGCCTCCATCATGGACTCCTCTTTTGGATGATATTCTGTGAAATTTCTCCAAGTTTTAACCCTGGATCTTTGATCTCTCTGCTGTCTTCTTCCAAGATCTTATTCATTCACGTGGCTTAATGTAATTGTAAGAATGATTATTATCACCTATTTTGTAAAACCGTTTACTTTGTTAACTACAGAAACACATCCACCCATGTCCATGAGCTCATTTGTAACTTACACAACCTCATGATCGTTGGCAAATGAGAAAAATGAGGTTTCAAGAGCTGAGGCCAGTTCTCTGGGGTCAGCACAAACAGTAGAAGAGGACCAGAACTCTTGTTCTTTCAACTGAGAGGACAGTTCATTTGGTCTGGCTCTGACTTCCACCCTAAGTTTCAGCCCTAGAGCTCTTCCCAGAAGACACAACACCTAAAATAAAACATGTTTTGTATGGGTCTAGACTCCCCTCCCAACTTCATCCTTACAGCCAAGATTAAGGTTCTTGGAGAAGTAAAGATTTAATCCGTAACTTCTGATTCTTCCTTCTCCCCTCTTCATGTTTCTGTTTCTGCCCCTCTGGTCTAAGGCACCACCCTCTTGGCTTCTGCTTCCGCCCCTCATCCCTTCCCCTCCATTTTGTTCCACCTAGGTCCCCATGTTAGTCTCCCTAAATCACGGCTCTGAGAACTTGCCCTGCTTCAAAAATCTTTTAAGACTCCAAATTCTCTTCACTGCTGTGCTTGGCACACCAGGTGGCTAACGCCCCAGGTTACTGATCTCCCATTCTCCCCTTCCCCTCTGCACTGTACTCTGAAGGTGCCCATGTTCATTCTACCTTCTCACCTTTAGGTAGGCTGTTTTCCCCAACAGGCTTTCTTCCTGCCTTGCTGAGCTCTTGATATATCTTAAGGCTCAATTCAGTCCCCATCTCTGTGAAGCCTTCCTTGGCTCCACTTTATCTTTTCCTATTCTGAACCCAAATACTCATTTTCATTTTTTCACATTCTATCATTGTTTTATTTATTGAACACAAACCATAAGGACAATCAATTGAACCTGGCCCAGAACTGGTTCAAATGACAGAAATGAAAGATATTGAAAGTTACTGTAGGGGCGCCTGGGTGGCTCAGTCAGTTAAGTGTCTGCGTTCGGCTCAGGTCATGATCCTGGGGTCCTGGGTTTGCGCCCCGCTGAACAGGGAGCCTGCTTCTCCCTCTCCTCCCCACCTATGCTCTCTCTCTATCCCTGTCTGTCTCTCTCAAATAAATAAAATCTTAAAAAAAAGTTTTTGTAACTTTATTCCATATGCATAAAAATTAAGTAGAGACATGGAAGATATAAAAAGACCCAAAGTGAATTTCTTTTTTATATTTTATTTATTTGAGAAAGAGAGAATGAGCATGAGCAGGCAGAAGGCAGAGGAAGAAGCAGTCTCCCCACTGCGCAGGGAGCCAGATGTGGGGCTTGATCCCAGGATCCTGAGATCATGATCTGAGCCGAATACAGACACTCAACCGACTGAGCCACCCAGGCACCCCCCAAAGTGAATCTCTTGACAGTATCTAAGATTACAAATACACTAGATGCTATTAACAATAGATTAGATATTGCAAAAGCAATGATTAGTAAACTTGAGGGCACAGCAAGAGAAACTTCCAAAATGAAACACAGAGAAAAAAGAATTTTAAAAAATTGAAAATGGCATCAGTGAGCTATGGAATAACTTTAAGTGGCCAAATATACAGGGAAGCAAGGAGGACCTGGGGACAGAGAATATATGAAGGAATAACAGCTTAAAAATGTGCAAACTACAAACCTACAGATCTGTGATAGCTAATTTTATATGTCTACTTGGCTAGGCTATGGTGGCCAGCTGTTTGGTCAAATGCCAGTCTAGATGTTGCTGTGATGGTATTTTTTGGATATGATAACCTTTAAATCAGTAGACTTTACCTTCTGTAATGTGGGTGGGCTTCATCCAATCAGTTGAAGGCCTTAAGGGAAGGAATTCTGCCAAGACTGCCTGTAGGCTCAAGACTGCAACACCAACTCTTGCTGGAATTTCTAGCCTGCCAAAGTGCCCTACAGATTTCCGACTTGCCAGCCCCCACAACTACGTGTGCCAATTCTTTAAAGTAAATCTCTATCTATCTACACACATACCTTCTGTTGGTTCTGTTTCTCTGGAGAACAATTGACCAACACAAAATCCAAGAAGCTCGAGTAACTCCAAATACAAAAAACAAGATACATCAAAATCAAATTGCTTAAAACCAATGACAGAAAATCTTAAAAGCAGTCAGAAAAAAGACATGTTATATACAGAGAAAGGAGACAAGGATACAATGCAACATGTTAGGTACAGAGGAACAAAGACAAGGGTACAATGCAAACATGACATGGAGCAACATCTCTAAAGTACTCTAGCAAAATTATATCTAAGAAGGTATATCCAGCAAAAACATCTCTCAAAAATGAAGGTGAAAATAAGTTATTTTCAGGGGCACCTGGGTGGCTCAGTCATTAAGCATCTGCCTTCAGCTCAGGTCATGATCCCAGATTTTATTTATCTATATCTAGATCTATATATAGATAAATAAATAAAATCTTAAAAAAAGAAAATAAGTTATTTTCAGACATACAAAAGCTGAAAGAATTCATCACCAGTAGAACCACTGTAAGTTAAAGGAAGACCGGCAGAAGGAACGTGATACCAGACAAGAATCTGGATCTACAACGGAGGCATGAAGAGCACTGGAAAATACTTTATTTCACCTTCATTTTTGAAAGATTTTCTTTTTTAAAGATTTTATTTATTTATTT